AAATGTAACATCTGCCCTGACTTCAGTGGGAGGATGACATGTAGTAGGATGACATGTACGGCTTTCATTGTTACGTAGTGTAGGGTTCAGGGGCGGCCTGTTCAATAGGGCGATATGGGCGACGCACTGCCAACGGGAAAAGGAAGGGATTTTTTTTCTAATCAATTATATCACGGCAACAGTAGTTATCAGTGTTGTATCATACGTCTGATTGCCACAGTGCCACACTGCACAAAATGTCGAATCAGGCTAAAGTCGTGCTTCAAATGGCTCCCCCCCCTTTTGGGGCGATTTCAGTCAGGTTGAAAATCGCCCAGAAGTCTGTCATAGACTCCCATGTAAAATCTATTTTTTTCAAATTTCAGAGCCTTCAATACAATCTCAATGGGTGTCTGTGGGCTTGCACTTACGCGCTTTCGTCATACGTTACGTAACCATGAACGTAACTGAGAAAGAGTGATTGTTTGAAGGAAGTTCCTTTTTGTCGGCGAACAAATGAAGATAAATTGGCAACGAAACAATTAGGACCTCCCAGACCAAATGTAATAATTCAACAGGTTTCTACTAAAGGCGGAAAGTCCTACACCCGAGGATTTTCCAAAAATTGGTACGAACGAAAAAAGACATTGCCACTCACTCAACTGGATGACGAGGGATACAGGCTAGCTGTCCGCCGCCACAACGATGAGGTTAGTGTTGATAATCACAAGTTTACTGGATGTGGATATGGTGTAATAAAGGCAGTTTATTCAGAGGTAAATATATCTGGAATCGCGTTCACGGACCCGTTCGTCAAACTCTTAGGGAGCTATAAATTAAGCCCCATTACTTACCATATCAGATAAGAGAAATTGCTGCAGCTACATATATTTTACATCCTGGCCCTACATAGTTCACTATTTGCATCACTTACCAAAATATTACATGTGGTCATATATGCTTGGAAATTGGAGATGCCATAGAACGTCAAAAAAGTAAACATTGCTGGAGACCCATTGCCATTTTGGAGAAGACATCGCGTTTGCTAGCGAAGAGATTTGTTGTGGCAAATGAACTTGGGCTGGGAATTGCCAGGAACCTCACGATAAGATATATGCATCAGCATTGCGAGTCTCATGATTCTATACGTATTGCGATTCGATACTGTGATTTTATTGCGCACCATATGTCTGTTGCAGAGGGATCAGAAAGCCATGAGAACGAGTTTTGATCAGTCATGGAAATAAAAGTGCTGAAAACAAATTGGCTCCCAATGTGAAAAGATTGAGAACAAGCTATGAAGGAACAATAATGGTGTTTTGGTGCAGGTACAGCCAACTAGCGCTAAAATATTGCGATATTGTCAATACAGTATATCGTAAAGTATCACTATGTAACTCGATTTCTTTCACCCCAATCCCTCAAATTAACGGTAAATAACTGAATTGTTTGCCCCACATTTAGCTAAGATGATTAGCTAGCCAGCTAAAATGTTTTATTTAGTTAGCAGTCGCATCTACAATAGTTTACTGTCAATAACATGTCTCCAAAAATGACGTGGTGTCTCCAATTGTGTTGACATTTTACAATTGCAATGCGCATCCATGAGTATCCACTTTCTGTAGCTCAGCTGGTAGAGCATGGTGCTTGTAACGCCAAGGTAGTGGGTTCGATCCCCGGGACCACCCATACACAAAAATGTATGCACGCATGACTGTAAGTCGCTTTGGATAAAAGCGTCTGCTAAATGGCATATTATTATTATTATTATTATTATTATTATTATTATTATTATCTGAAGAGAGCCCCGAAACATTGTGTGCAGACATTTTATGCAATAAATGAAGTAGGTTCAATCTAGTAGTTCTGATCTTCTGATTGGTCCTGATGAGTTGGGCGAGGTCCCCTGCAGGCTACTGTCACTGTTGCATTGGCTCTGAGTCGGGGTTCTCTGTCTTCAAATGTTCAGCCTAAGAGAGGGGATTTTTGTGTGTGTGTGTGTGTGTGTGTGTTTAACAGTGATGATGTGTGTGTGTGTGTGTGTGTTTAACAGTGATGATGTGTGTGTGTGTGTTTGTGTGTGTTTTGTCCTCAGAAAGAATGTGAGTTGGAAAACTAGGCCTATGAGGTGGTGTTGTCTTGGCCACCTGCTGACGGCTGACAAGATAGACCCTTTGGCCATTGTTATGATAGGAACAGAACTTATAACCAGCTCTCTAATAGATCTTACACAACATTTTACTCAAAATCTATCCATATCATATAACAAAATATTACTACGACATAGCAAGAACCCACATCCTCAGCCGGCTAATCCATGTGTGAAGTTTGCGAGTGGTGAGTTCGCTTGCGAGCAAAGTGAAATGAGGGCTCCACCAACCTGGTAAGCACACTTTTGAGATCAGTCATAAATGCTTCTGGTATGACTTATTGCTGCCCTGCTCATGTTGTTGTGGACATATTTTTTTTAAAGTGTGTAGGCACCTAAATCATCGAAAAATGCCCCTCTGAGAATTTTTTCAGAGCGTAGTGTAGGGTTTGAACTAAACTGATATCTTTCCTCTGATTACAAAGGAAATACTTCACAAGATACTTATGAAAGACACTCTCTCATCACATTATGGTACTTTGGAGGAAGATTTGCTCCAACAATGCACTGCCAGTATTTAAAGGCCACAACATGTTCACAAATAATTCATCTTTGTATTGTAAACTGGTCTACACTTCTCGTGACCTTCAGTCATTAGTAGAGATCAGTATCGAGTGCAAGTTGAACACCCCACACAGACCAATGTACTGTCCTTCCAACCATACAGTATTTCAAAGCCTCTAATTTTATTACATTTACATTTTAGTCATTTAGCAGACGCTCTTATCCAGAGTGCATAAATTTTTCTAATGGAACAAGCTATGAAAATATAGGACTTCAAAATGTCATCCGAACAGCTAGTTGATAAAGAGTTCATTGATAGATAACAATGAACAAATTGAGTTCATAAAAATTACTGAAACAATGGGTATTTTGTCCATGATATACAGTAGTTTAGGCAGAAAATGACACAACAGACTTTGCTACATGACTATTTACAAGAGTAATGATGATTTTCAAAATTGAATTTATATGCCCCTTTAGGCAAACATTACTAAGTCATTACGGGGAGGTTTCCCGGACACAGATTCAGCCTAGTCCTGAACTAAAAATAACTTTTATTGAGAGATTCTCCACTGAGCTTGCTTTTTAGTCCAGGACTAGGTTTAATCTGTGTCCGGGAAACCACCCCTACAAGTTCAAAGTGATAGTAGAGCTGGTACAAGCAAACAAGCAATATCAGCAAATGTGCCACGTGTTTTCTGTTACTGAATTTCAAGGTTCTGATGTAAGTATTCATACAGACACTCTTACCACCTGCTTAACAAATTCAGTGAAATCTGACTCATACCACACAAAAAAATGCCAAGAAAGCCAAACCCTCTAATGCACAAACGCCTACTAAATCAGTTAACTGCTTCTGTAAGATTTATCCTGTTACAGTGACAGTCCCCTGCGAGGTAAGATGTACTGTACTGTTTCATGGAAACAATGACCATGCATCCTCCTAAAACATTTGTCAGATTTCCAAAAACATTTGCTTCATGGCATGAAGTCTAGCCCTTAGAAATGAATATTCCCCTAAAGGTCTTCATCATGATTAAATCATAGCTAGCAAGGTTAACCCTCTCTAAGGGTCTCCTCAATCAATTCTGGTAAGACAATTCAGCTATAACATAAAGAAATGAAACACCAACATAAATCAAAGATATGTAGGCACTTTATCATGAAGCTATACACTGTACTGTAGATTAGAGAGACACTCACCTTCACAAATTACATGACATGCAAATCCCTCTCTTTTTCTTTCGGTTTGATATTAGGGAGGACTTGCTCCATGACTATCTTAATGGTCTGTTTCATAATCATTATATTCTGACTATAAGCCACGTAACATATAATCAGGTGACTATTCCAATATGCTTCAGCATCTTCAGTGGCAACCAGATCATTATATCAAAGTCTACACTCTTAGAAAAAAGGGTTCCAAAAGGATAGCCCTTTTTGGTTCCAGGAATAACCTTTTTTGGTTCCACTTACAACCCTTTAGGTTTTCATGTAGAACCCTCTGTGGAAAGGGTCCTACATGGAACCCAAAAGGGATATACGTGGAACCAAAAAGGGTTCTTCAAAGGGTTATCCTATGGAGACAGCCGAAGAACCCTTTCTGGTTCTAGATAGCACTTTTTTCTAAATCTACTCTCTGCAGATGTATGTATGTTAGAAAATGTGGCAGCAGTGATTACTTACGTCTGAGTACAATCTAGTCTAGAAATAGTAGATATGGGCCTGTATCCACAAAGCGTCTCAAAGGTAGGAGTGCTGATCTAGGATCTGTCCATATAATCTTAATCATTATGATCTAAATCTTAATCGTTATGATCTAAATCTTAATCGTTATGATCTAAATCTTAATCATTATGATCCAATCCTACTCCGATACGCTTTGTGGATACGGGCCCTGGACTTATTAAGCATATTTAACACAAAGCTTTCCTGCAAATAATGAAATATTAATGATCTCCATCTGGGCCGCCTCGTGTGCCCAGTTATCACACTGGCAGGAGTCATAAAGTTTTTCTCCTGCCACCCAGTAGGAAGAAACAGGTACTGCACTTAACACTCAGACATAAACCTCTTTTCCCTTTCCTTTTAAATGTGTGAAAATGCCCTGAAATCCCTGGAAGGTCAATCCTGTTGGAGAAAGGGTACCATTAGCACCACTATGTACTCTATCCCAGGCGCTGATGACATGGGCGTTGATTAAGGCAGCCCCCCCCCCGCACCTCTTTGATTCAGAGGGGTTGGGTTAAATGCGGAAGACACGTTTCGGTTGAATGCATTCAGTTGTACAACTGACTAGGTATCCTCCTTTCCCTTTCTCTCCAAGCTCTTTAACTGTTATAACGTGAAAGGGAATTATCTTGACATCCAAAACATCCAATTGGCATCCAACTGATTTGAATGCCCATTCAGCAATGTCCCGAATAGCAATGAATCCATTATCGATGCATTTATTTTCTCCAAAAGTGTTGGATTCTGATGGGTGATAAGTGAGTGGATGTTTGTATATTAAACTATGTAGTACTCACAGTCTTACCGTCAGCACCAGCAGGACCAGCTTGACCGGGGTTCCCCATTGTTCCTGCTTCCCCCTGACAGAGAACACAGCATGTTATTGACTGGACCATTTAGATTTTTAAACAATGCAAGTGCACCACTCATGAAACCGCTGAACTACTCAGAAACCATTTGTCTATTGCATGCACTAAAGCAGCACCGATGTGATTTTAAAACATGTTCTTTGTGAGGAGCTTCAAACAGAAATGCTTTTTACCTTTCCTGGAAAAAAACTTTCAAGGCTTTACAGACTTTAAGAGTACAAAAGATCATTCTGAGTTCATGTCTCAGCAGGACATGTTGAACTTTACTTGATTCAAGATGCCCTTTATTACAATTCCTGGTAATATATCAGCCCCAGAGGAGGCTGGTGGGAGGAGCTATAGGAGGACAGGCTCATTGTAATGGCTGGAATGGAGTAAATGGAATAGTAAGAAACACTTCAAACAAATGGAAACAACGTTTGACTCCATTCCATTGATTCCTCCTATAGCTTCTGTAGCTCCTCCCACCAGTTTCCTCTGATTCAGCCCAAAAGGTCTATCTGCGAACCAGCCATGCTTGTAGCCTTTTGGATGTATTATTAAAGCCTTTAAGAGTAATATTTTCCTGTTGAAAAACAGGATTTGTACCAATGCATGACTATGGCCTTATAAACACAAACACGCCTGCAACCTTGTACACTTTTACAGAATAAAAGGACCTGTTGCTATGGTAATATTGCTTAAAGGTAGGCTACTTCGTGAAACGTTTTAGTGTTAGTTTTAACATCTTATAAATTCTTTGGCATATGCTCTGTGAACAATGAAATGTGTCACACAGCACTTTATTTTGTGGCCCATTTCAGTACACTTTATTTTGCCTAGGAGTCAGTCTGTTTCTACTTTTAGTCAACTTGACATTCTCTTGACAAACAGTCTGGAACAAGTCCCTATTTCAATGGTTAGTTCTTTCCATCAATAAAGACATTGGACAGTGGGGCGGGTCTTATTGATAACATCTTCCAACCACAACCCAATCACATGCATTGCCGTCACCGTGACGTACTGTAGGCACAAAGCCACATCCGTTTGAACCGCATCTTTCAATTTGGCTGTACGTTCGGCATCTTGGATGAATTGGTCATGCAAGTTGTGGGGAGACAAAACAATTTACGTCACAAAACTGTTCAAAAGTTAAACACTTTCAGAAGTGTATTTGATTTGCACAGCAGCGTGTCCTGATGGAAGGAGTTGACACTTGATTTAGAAACTGGCAAGTGCCGTGGTGTAACCCTTCTGACTGACCTTCATGCCTGGAAAACCAGGAGGTCCGGGAGGACAGGTACAGGGTTCTGGAGTGGGCTCCACGTCGATGTCACCAGGGCCGTTGGCGCACTGGAATAAACAAGAAACACGCACACCATTCACTAATGACATGTAGCCCTTTCCTGCAGTCAAATTACCAAATCGCCCTCTAGTGGCCTCATGGGTGGAACGTTATTAATATTTTTCATAATTTCATAATTAATCAACATTGTTTTTTTTAAACAGCCGGAAATCCAGTGTTTCTATATCAAATGTTTTTTAAAAATATTTCTGTCTTCTGTTACGTATATAAAGTGTACTATTGGGATGCAAACTCAAACTTGAATACATTTCAACTCTATATCTGACATGGTACAGGTGTCTTCTTTTTTTAAGCCCATAGCCAGGTGTGTGAGGTGTATACTTTTGTTTCAAAGTAGACTACTTTGTGTGACCCTGATTTAGCCCAATGCAGTAAAAGGTTTTAACATAGTGTTCACTAAGCCATACTCTTGTCATATGGAAGACATTCGAGCAATGAATCAATGATATGTCTGATTTCCTGCTAACAGACACTCTCAGACAACTAAAGCCAAGGGAGTGCATTCAGTTCATGTCTTTTAGCAGCCTAATCATTTAGCATTTAGCAGCACAGTAGCATTCACACAGCAGACACTTCCAGCAAAACAACTTTGTAAACGTAGTTCTAGAGACAAAGGGTTATATTACATGTTCATAGCAAGAGACAAAAAACCTTGACTGCATATTAGTTCAAATATGTATGCTAGCTTGACACAAGGGAAGATTATTACCTTGGACTTACCCTGAAATCCGTAAAATGTAACTATAGGTATGTTCAACATAAAGCCACTACCATGTGATTACTTTGTTATTACTGGTAGCCTAGCTGTTAAGAGTGTTGGGCCAGTAACCGAAAGGGTGATGGTCCGAATCCCCAAGCCGGCAAGGTGGTAAAAATCTGACGTTCTGCCCTTGAGCAAGGCAGTTAACCCACAACAACAACTGCTCCCCAGGTGCCGGAAGCCCACCACACCTCTCTGATTCAGAGGGGTTGGGTTAAATGCGGAAGACACATTTCGGTTGACTGCATTTAGTTGTGCAACTAACTAGGTATCCCCCCTTTACCTTCCCTCCCCTATTACAATGTTGTAACTACAGTTATTGCTGTATTGATATAGCTCCAAAATCTTTTTCATGTCAGCAATCACATTTTCAAGATACTGTATATAACTTTCAAAATACAGAAATACAGCCGGTATGATGCATTTTGCATTATATGATGCTGCGTATTGCATCATATGATGCAAAATGCATCATACCGGCTGTAAGTTACATATCTTGAAAACTTGATTGCTGACATGCAAAACAAATTGGGATTATATCCACAATGGACTAATAAAATAAATACCAAAAGATAGCTGTTGGGTGGAATTTTCCTTTAAGGTAAAGTGTTACCTATACATTGCACAACCCCTAGCAGATTAGTGACACTGCAAAAGACCATAGAATAAAGTATAGTCTTACCTCTAGCGATGAAAATGAAACTAGGGTTTACTTTGTAAGCGAGCAAAGCCATCAGCCAAAATACATACCTCTCCGTCCTGGAAATAAAAGGAGCGAGATTATGTAATGGAAGCGCCTGGCAACCTGTAATCTCACACTAATAGACTAATCTGTTAAAACAATAACACTGGTTGAAGGTAAATGAAATAATGCAAAACATGCAGAGAGAGAGATGTTGGCATGCGGTTGTGTGTTTTCAGAGCCTCTCTCTCCCTCGTTTTGTTTCTCCCAAACTGATATCCAGAAACAACATATGCAAAACAATGGTCTGGCATCGTGGGTTAGTAGTGAAAGCAATAGCCAAGCCAATGCAGCATTTGGCCACTGCTTCACAAACAGATTTGCCGTCAGATAGTAAAATAACAGGGAGAGCAATGTGCATGAGGCAAGCAGAGGTAAAGACGCTCCACCACATCACACAGAAAGCAGGATGAGGTCAAACACAAGTGATAATAATAATGTAATAATCTATAAAACAAAGGTCATATATTGTGAATCATATTCCCCAGTACCATATGATTCAATGCACAACTGAAAGAGGAGAAAGAAGAAAGGAAAAACGTATATTTTTGAGACATTTCATCAGATTTCAAAATAAACATCGTATGGATTTCCCCCGATACTAAGTCATGGTGGTGATATGGTGGCATATAGTATAGTGGTGCATTGTGATCAAGAACAGGAAAATATGTGATCCCTTCAAACATGTACTACAAGGACAGATCCAAACAGGTGTTTGTACTCACAACTCCAGGTATTTCACAGGCAGTCTCACGGTTGTTCTGCCCGGGCTCGCAGTAGATCCTGAGCTTCATAATCTCAAACTGTTAAAGAAAGGAATTATCATGAGGTCGGGGAAAAAGCATTTCAATCTTAACACGTGGCTACTTTATCTTGCTAAAAGTTTTATAATGATGAATGAAGTCCTAAGTCCCTCTCATCACCATACCAGGAAGTTATTTCTCTAGACTTAAGTGACACCTTCTTTATATTTAAGATAACTTGTAAGGATTTACTTGCAGGTCATTTTCAAGTTTTATGCGTTCGAAAACAAATCCAGCAACATTCTGGTTGCACGTCTCAAATTAGCTTAGCCAAAAGTAGTTCATTAAAACACAACATCATTATGATTGATTGCAGCTTGAGGATGTTTGGCCCAAGTACACCATGTATCAACATCGCCAAATAAAGCAAAGACTAAATAAAACATAGAAGACAGAGAGGTTCTTCGTGGCAAGATTTTCTAATCCACTGAGGTCAGTATGTTTTAAAGGACAATGAAGACTCTTGACTCTTCACATCCTACTGTTAAAAGGTTAGACCAATAGCTGCGTAAATGTGATCCAATATACAGATGTAGGATCTTAATTTGATCACCATGTTGCAGGAGAACTTTGTGAAACTTATAGTTTATTTGAGGTTTAAAAAGGCTTCTGAAGATTGTAATTTCCCTTATGAAAAATGTATCAACCCCTACAAAAATGCCAATTAATTATAATCCACATATTAATTCACATTTCCTGTTGCAGAAGGATTATTTTCCTGTTGTAGCAAACTGGCTCAAATTAAGATCCTACATCTGTAGACAGTTGTCTTGCACAAACGCACATTATTGGTTCTGAAAATGTTGTCTCCGGATAAACTTACTGGTACAGTTGTCTCTTTGCTGACATACTTTCCGATCTGGGTCTTCCCATTAATGAAGATACCAGCAGGAGGTTCCAATGGCAAGGTTTCAATTTCCAGGTCATCAACATACAGGGTAACATCCTGCTCGGTGACCAGTAGGCGAAGCTGATGCCAGTTCTCATCAAATAGTTTCTATTTGACAAGAAAACAGGATAAGGAAGGATTATTTATACAAAGGTCAACAAGGTCTAGGAAAATGTAACAACTTGCCTACTAGAGAGTGCAATGGATATTAAATTGTTGTGCAATCACAAAACATTGATAGAAAGAACATTGGAGAAACAAACAAACACACAGAGCCGAGAACAGCCTCAGCTTTAGAACATCAGTTTTCTTTTCTTTTTTGTTAAAATCACTTATCCACATGGTCAGAATGTAAGGAATCAAAGGCTGCGTTTAGACACGTACCCCAATGCTGATGTTTTTTCCACTAATCTAATTTAAACTAATCACATCAGATATTTTCACATAAGATATTTTTCAGAGCTGATCTGATTGGTCAAAACACCAATTAGTGAAAAAAATATCAGAATTGGGCTGCCTGTCTAAACGCAGACCAAGACACTTAACTCAGGCATGTCAGGAAGCCATTGTAAAGTAGGCCTCAGCTAGCACATGGCCAGTAGGAAAACTTTGGATGATTTCAAATAGTCTGATATGGTGACTGATCTCTAGGAAGTTTGATTATCTAACCATATTGAATCATTATTCTTTCAATTCACTACATTCCATTCTCCTCAAATGTCACAGTCTTCAATCCCACCACCTCCCAATCCTTAGAAAGTCATGCAAGTTAGTTATTTTGCTTTTTTGGAATATAATGTAGTTTGCTGTAATATCATTAGTGTGTGCAGTAATAAACCCTATCACTGTTTTATGAGCCCTCTCTGTGTTTCATGGATTGTAGAGACTGTACATCTGCCTCAGAGATTTTCATGATTCGTGATTTACATAAATTAACTGAAAACCCACGCTAACAGATGGTTATAGTAACAGTATTCCACTTTTCATGTAGCCTCATTTTGACCAGCTAACAGCCTAACCACCGATCAAGCAGAATTATGGACTAAACGTTCAAATCTTGTTGCTGCAACAATACAGGTAAAATCTAATCAAATTGTATGTCAAATGCGCCGAATATAACCGGTGTACACTTTACAGTGAAATGCTTACTTACGATCCCTTAACCAACAACGCAGAGATAAAAAGTAAGAAAATTAGCAAATAGAAATACAACAAATAACAATGCTATATACAAGGAGTACCAGTACCGAGTCAATATGCAGGGGTATGAGGTAGTTGAGATAATACTCACATTTTTACAGACGCTCTTATCCAGAGTGATTGCATACACCATTTTTTTATTTCATCATACTGGCCCCCCAATGGAATCAAACCCACAACCCTGGCGTTGCAAACGGCATGCTCTACCAACTGAGCTACATCCCTGCCTGCCATTCCCTCCCTACCCTGGGCCAATTGTGCACCGCCCCATGGGTCTCCCGGTCACAGCCAGCTACGACAGAGCCTGGATTCGAACCAGGATCTCTAGTGGCACAGCTAGCACTGGATGCAGTGCCTTAGACCACTGCGCCACTCGGGAGGTTACATGTAGGTAGGGGTAAAAGTGACTAGGCAATCAGGATAAATAATAAACAGAGTACTAATAAACAGAAGAAGATCCTACATTTGTAAAGTACTATCATGTCATGTGTCTGTTTTGGTGATTTGGAAGACTCATGGTGTTGAGGTACCTTGGCAGGTTCTTGTTGGAAGACCACTGTCTGAGTATCACCTGGTGCTACACTGGTTGTAGTGAACTTGACACTGCGTTCAAATCCATTTAGTGTGACAGCCATTTGTGGTTTCCCGTTATTGGTCTGTATCCTCCATAGGTCCCACTCTTCCCTGAGCAGAGACCCCTTGTACCTCAGCGTGGACACAAAGACATAGGATGGAGGCAGGCCATCTGGAAACAAGTTCCTGTGGGCCAAAATTAAACAACCAGTCAATCACATCACTATGAAACAACCAGTCAGTCACATCACTATGAAACAACCAGTCAGTCACATCACTATGAAACAACCAGTCAATCACATCACTATGAAACAACCAGTCAATCACATCACTATGAAACAACCAGTCAATCACATCACTAGAACAACACTCATCAATCACTATGAAACAACCAGTCAATCACATCACTATGAAACAACCAGTCAATCACATCACTATGAAACAACCAGTCAATCACATCACTATGAAACAACCAGTCAATCACATCACTATGAAACAACCAGTCAGTCACATCACTATGAAACAACCAGTCAGTCACATCACTATGAAAACATCAGTCACATCACTATGAACAACATCGTCACATCACTATGGAACAACCAGTCAGTCACATCACTATGAAACCAGAGTGATAAAGTAGACATGGCAATATTGACATGACCACTGGCGTAGCACACAGCCCCGCAGACCCCCCACTGAGGTAGAAAAAAATCATCTTACCATGAAATAAATGTTTAGAATTACTGGAAAGTAGCTTAAAAACTACAACATTTTCTCTCAGCCTCATGGCAAAATGTGTAGAATAGCAGTAAATTAGCTCAGAGATTCTTGAAAGTCGGGACAATTGTTGTTATTTTTCTACTACAAAAAAAAAGGATTTTGTTTATTTATTTTTATTTGAGCTTAAAATGTACATTTATGAGAATCTTATAAGGGACAAGATTTGTTTTAGGAATTTTCTAAAAACTTTCTAAATGCCCTTGTCTGGATCCCAATTTCAAACTCTACAAAAAAGTGTTTAAAATAAAAAAGAAACTGGCAATAATTGTTATAACTGGAAAATTATCTTATTGTGTTTTCATTAAATAGCCATCTTTGACTTTAAAAACCCCCTAAAGTCGATTGATGCACCCCAGTGTCATTTTGGATATTGAGTAGCACCCTGTGTGTTTATGTTAGAGACTTGGCTGCAGCTCAATCCCCTCTTTCCAGAGATATAAAGTTGGCGCATATTCCATAACACGGGGCTTATGAAAGCAACCTTTTTCTACACAAATCGTCACGAATTTGTCCGTAAAACCTGAACCGTGTGAGCTACAAACTAATAAGCTTCAGGGAAAAGGTCTGAGAAAATCAAGTAACAGGCTGCAAAAAGTGCATAGGTAAAATGTGCCAAAAATAACGTGACCAAACATGGGTCTAAGTTTTCTTATGTCTCTCAGATAGAGGACAGACACTTCAAAACCTTGTTCCTTATGATTTATATTTTGTCTTTCTGTTTTGCCATTTATGAATGTGTTATTCAATGTGTTTCTATGGGCTATAGCAGTAAAGGCCAAATTCAATGTTTCATCCCCAATTTCATTTTTATTTTGGCCTTAAAACACTTGTTGGACAATAATTATAGAAATAAAATTCCTTTTATGGTGTCTGATGGGGTTGGCATAAATCCAGTTAGTTGCATTTTATGAAAACATAAAAGAAATTGGAGGTTGTTCCTTTACATTATAGCTGTTATAGCTGATACTTTGGTCTATCAAAATATATCTATTTTATTTTTTTATTTAGGCAAATATTTGTGGAAAAAAAGTTGAGATTGTCCTGCCTTTCAAGAATGCCTGAGCTCTAAAACAGCAACAAATTTTCTCAACCTCATGCAAAATGTGTAAAATAGCATGAAATTAGCTATAATACTGCACATTTTTATCTCTTCCCACATGAAAAATGGGGGGCCCCATGCGCTACGCCACTGGACATGACATGGTGTTTTAAGCTTACGTTGTGCTTTCACTCAGGTCGACTCGAGATGTCACCTGGAAGGCTTTGGAGCCATAGAAAGACCCTTGAGTTTTTTTGACCTTTTTGGCCAAATTAAGATAATGTAGAATATCGAAGCCCTTCACGTCACCGTTATCGACTGAGATTCTGCTTGGACAAACAGTCTCTGAAATAAAGAGAATGAAAGAATTAAGAACACGGCATAGTACGTATTTTTGTGTGACTGGTTGAACATCACAAACACATTTTCATAGAAGTACCACCATCTTTTTTTTCTGGTTGGGCTGCATGTTACATTTAGAGTAAATCCAATGAACGCAATAATTTATTTAATTTGACCTGGAAACCGAAGTGTCAAATAATCTATAGTAAAATACATTGGAATGGAATACCGGACATTTTGCAAATATGCAGTCTGTATATAGAACATCCCTCCCATCGGGAAAACCAGACAGAATTTGACCATTACACCCATACCTTAATCACTCATCTTAATTATTCCAGTAGGCTATTCATTTACATGGGATCAGACATCAGATACAACCTCTCAAATAGGTCCGATTGTCCTAGCTATTGTTTCATGTTTTGTTCTGGGTGTTGTTTTTGCTCTTGTTCTTGATGAAACCCTTTTGTTCTAAAACGTATTTTCAACAAGGCTGTAAGCATTCAGTACGTATTCTTGCTATGTTGACTACCAGGATGCATTGCCAAGTGCCGAAAGCCATGCACATACCCCTTCAGTTTTACAAAGATTTGGTATAGATCATTAACAATTTCAGCTGTTTTCCTAGCAATAGCTTCACTAACCTTTACTTCACCCCGAAGCATGAACCAGTATCTGGGCAAAGGAGACAGTGAATATGACAAGATCTCCTCTCGGCACAGAACGCTACCATTCAAGCTACCATTCACCAGCTCTGGAAGCATTATAATGTCAGAATTACTCACCAAATATGCCTACCCTGCCTGCAACTATTGTAATTTACTGCCGTTACGCAATGTACTGTATGTAGTTCCAAAAAAGGTCTAAATAAATATCTACAAGCAACCAAAAAAATCATAATGTATTGTTTTTTTACCAGAAGGTGCCTCTTCCGGTCAAAAACAATACATCAGGTTCTGTTGCTTGTACAATTTTACTTAGGCCTTGGGCAGAGAGGAGATCACGTCATATAATTATCTTCTTTGCCCAGATATTGGTTCACTTGAAGCACTAACATTACATTGACATTACTCTCTTGACACAGTTTGGCTAGTCATCCACAGTCAACAGCTTCAGAAAACGTTAGATTCCCAATCATTAGATCTTGAGAAAACATTAGATTCCCAAACATTAAATCTTTAGAAAACATTAGATTTTAAGACATTTCTTGGTTTTGAATAGCTTCAATGTTTGGCAATGTGCAAACATGTTAAATGAACCAAAGAGTCTTTAAAGGACCGCTCCTTCATTTTAACGAACAACAACAAAAATGGTTTGTTGTGAAGCTGAGGGATAGGGCTCATGAGGGTCCCCATTTTGTCATCACATAAACGCCTACCTTCACACAACTTCTGCCTTATGGTCTCACGGATCTTGGAAATAGCTTTATAGTCATCGACGTAAAACACGTAGTTGGAGGAAGGCTTGTTTCCAATAGCGTTCAACTCCGCCTCTTCCGTCTCAGATCCCACACCAATGGCAAACATGATTATTCCTCTCCTCCGGGCTGCATCTGCTGCTGCTTTCACCTCATCTTGTGACTTCCCGTCTGTTAGGACCACAGCGATTCTAGCAATGCCCTTTGGGCCTCGCTCAGACAGGTTAAACAGTTTGTCGCTGGCAAACTGTATGGCCGTCCCAGTCCTTGTGTTTCCTCCCATGTAGTCAATGGATTCCATGGCTCTGATGAGATCCTTGATATGAAGGTGCTTCCCTAGTGGAATATTTATGATTGGATCATCACTGTATTGGACCACTCCAATCTGGGTGAACTTCTGTCCGATGTTAAAGCTTGTGGTGATATTGACGAGCCATCGCTTGACTATTTCAAAGTTCACATCGGCTACGCTCCACGAGCCGTCTAGGATAAAGACCAGATCGCTTGCCACAGTCTTACAACCTGTAAGAGAGATGATACACATGAGTGGTGTTACACAGCCTTGAAAAAAACATTAATGAAGAATATTCACTTCTTATAAAGGAATACCAATACAGTTCATAGAGCTTTCCTGAACATCCATTCTGTTTTTATAGTAAACGTGAGAGATAATAGACACCATGCAATGGAAATGTGTCACATATAACGATGAAGACAGAAGCACTCTTACTGAATCTCATGTCCTCATCTTGTGCTGTACAAGACAAGTGAAGAAGCATGAAGCACACACACCGCAAGACACAATGCATGGATCTTGTTTTGCAACCCATGATGCTGAAGTACCAAACTCCAATTGTGCCCCTATAGGGAAAGGGAAACAACACATGCATTGCTGAGATTGTCGTTACAATTGCTCATATCAGTTAACCAATCAAAGAACTGCAGACCGTTTTTCTTACTTGTCACTGTTGTTACTTGAATTGCATGCAATGCATATCTTAATATTGAAAGTAGACATATCTGTGACAAAAGATGTAGGGTCAGTATATTGCATTTGTTGTAAACAAGATAAAGCAACTTAAGTCTGTGTTAGTGGCAATGAAACATGGAAGAGCATTCTGAAGTCTATCTCTTCTCTCTCTCTCTCTCTCTCTCTCTCTCTCTCTCTCTCTCTCTCTCTCTCTCTCTATATATATATATATATATATATATATATATATATATATATATATATACAGTACCAGTCAAAAGTTTGGACACACCTACTCATTCCAGGGTTTTTCTTTATCTGGAATGCATTTCAATTAACAGGTGTGCCTTGTTAAAAGTTAATTTGTTGAATTTATTTCGTTCTTAATGCGTTTGACCCAATCAGTTGTGTCGTGACAAGGTAGGGGTGGTATACAGAAGATAGCCCTATTTGGTAAAAGACTCAAATAAGTAAAGAGAAACGACAGCCCATCATTACTTTAAGACATGAAGGTCAGTCAATCCGGAGAATTTCAAGAACTTTGAAAGTTTCTTAAAGTGCAGTCGCAAAAACCATCAAGCACTATGAAGAAACAGGCTGTCATGAGGACCGCCACAGGAAAGGAAGACCCAGAGTTACCTCTGCTGCAGAGGATAAGTTCATTAGAGTTACCGGCCTCAGATTGCAGCCCAAATAAATGCTTCACAGAGTTCAAGTAACAGACACATCTCAACATCAACTGTTCTGAGGAGACTGCGTGAATCAGGCCTTCATGGACGGATTGCTACAAAGAAACCACTACTAAAGGACACCAATAATAAGAAGAGACTTGCTTGGGTCAAGAAACACGAGCAATGGACATTTGTCCAAATTTGTCTTTGTGAGACGCAAAGTAGGTGAACGGATGATCTCCGCATGTGTGGTTCCCACCGTGAAGCATGGAGGAGGAGGTATGATGGTGTGGGGGTGCTTTGCTGGTGACAATGTCTGTGATTTATTTAGAATTCAAGGCACACTGATCCAAAACAATGACAATGACTCAAAACACAGCTCCAGGCTGTGTAAGGGCTATTTGACCAAGGAGAGCGATGGATTGCTGTTTAACACTTTTTTGGTTACTACATGATTCCGTGTGTTATTTCATAGTTTTGATGTCTTCACTATTATTCTACAATGTAGAAAATAATACAAATAAAGAAAAACCCTTGAATGAGTAGGTGTGTCCAAACTTTTGACTGGTACTCTACAGTTGAAGTCGGAAGTTTACATACACTTAGGTTGGAGTCATTAAAACTAAATTTACAACCACTCCACACATTTCTTGTTAACAAACTATCGTTTTGGCAAGTCGGTTAAGACATCTACTTTGTGCATGACAGCAGTAATTTTTTCAACAATTGTTTACAGAAAGATTATTTCACTTATAATTCACGGTATCACAATTCCAGTGGGTCAGAAGTTTACATACACTAAGTTGACTGTGCCTTTAAACAGTTTGGAAAATTCCAGAAAATGATGTCATGGCTTTTGAAACTTCTGATAGGCTGATTTACATAATTTGAGTCAATTGGTGGTGTACCTGTGGATGTATTTCTAGGCCTACCTTCAAACCCAGTGACTCTTTGCTTGACATCATGGGAAAATCAAAAGAAATCAGCCAAGACCTCAGAAAAAAATTTGTAGACCTCCACAAGTCTGGTTCATCCTTGGGAGCAATTTCCAAACGCCTGAAGGTACCACGTTCATCCGTACAAACAATAGTATGCAAGTATAAACACCATGGCACCACGCAGCCGTCATACCGCTCAGGAAGGAGACACATTCTGTCTCCTAGAGATGAACATACTTTGGTTTGAAAAGTGCAAATCAATCCCAGAACAACAGCAAAGGACCTTGTGAAGATGCTTGAGGAAACAGGTACAAAAGTATCTATATACTCAGTAAAACGAGTCCTATATCGACATAACCTGAAAGGCCGCTCAGCAAGGAAGAAGCCACTGCTCCAAAACCGCCATAAAAAAGCCAGACTACGGTTTGCAACTGCACATGGGGACAAAGATTGTACTGTCCTCTGGTCTGATGAAACAAAAATAGAACTGTTTGGCCATAATGATCATCGTTATGTTTGGAGGAAAAAGGGGGTTGCTTGCAAGCCGAAGAACACCATCCCAACCGTGAAGCACAGGGGTGGCAGCATCATGCTGTGGGGATGCTTTGCTGCAAGAGGGACTGGTGCACTTCACAAAAATAGATGGCATCATGAGGAAGGAAAATTATGTGGATATATTGAAGCAACATCTCAAGACATCAGTCATGAAGTTAAAGCTTGGATCGCAAATGGGTCTTCCAAATGCACAATGACCCCAAGCATGCTTCCAAAGTTGTGGCAAAATGGCTTAAGGACAACAAAGTCAAGGTATTGGAGTGGCCATCACAAAGCCCTGACCTCAATCCTATAGAAAATGTGTGGGCAGAACTGAAAAAGTGTGTGCGAGCAAGGAGGCCAACAAACCTGACTCAGTTACACCAGCTCTGTCAGGAGGAATGGCCCAAAATTCACCCAACTTATCGTGGGAAGCTTGTGGAAGACTACCCGAAATGTTTGACCCAAGTTAAACAATTTAAAGGCAATGCTACCAAATACTAATTGAGTGTATGTAAACTTCTGACCCACTGGGAATATGATGAAAGAAATAAACGCTGAAATAAATAATTCTCTCTACTATTATCTCACATTTCACATTCTTAAAATAAAGTGGTGATCCTAACTGACCTAAGACAGGGAATTTTTATTAGGATTAAATGTCAGGAATAGTGAAAAACTGAGTTTAAATGTATTTGGCTAAGGCATATGTAAACTTCAGATTTCAACTGTATATTTATCTCTCCCACTCTCTCTCTCTCTCTCTCTCTCTCTCTCTCTCTCTCTCTCTCTCTCTCGCTCTCTCTCCGTCTGTGTGAATACTCAGAAGAGTTTTGATCATACTTCTTTGTTTCCCTCTGGCTTCTTTAGGAAACAGTATATTTTATTGCAGTTTCCAGCCAGTGAAATGTAGAAACTGCAGACATTATAAAAAGATACAGCTATAAATGAGGAACAGATATGTTCCATAGAAAGCATTTGTGGAAGGAAGGAAGGAAGGAAGGAAGGACCTTTGGTCATCTCAGTCAATCAATCCAATCAACTTAAAGCAGTGGGTTTTCCAGAGACAATGACCAGACTTGGGTAGGTCAGTTCTGCAATGACCGAGATCTAACCCGCGTCCACCATATGTAACTGTGCAGTCAGTTTGTTGTCACAGCTATAACATGACTGGGTTTTTCCACTCCCTGACCTGGGATTTGTGGCACAGCTCAGTGAGGCTCCAAAATGCCATGGTAGAGCCGGCCATTTTGTTCCGGTCCTTTCCCCCCAATCAGTCCAGAGCACTTGGGGAGGTTGCTGGAAAAGCAGCACCGTGACATGGGCAATTCTGTATGTTCAGTACTATCCGGGATCCCTGGGACGTCCCTACCCTGAACCCTAACCTTAACCCCTACCCTTACCCTTAACCCTTACCTTAACCGTTTTAAATTTCAACTTCAATGAGGTGATGTCAGAGTTGTATGTCCCAAGGATCCCAGATAGTAAAAATCCCAGTCACTATGGCTTTCCTTCTATAGATTTTCCCCCAAACTGGATATTTCAAAATTTCTGCCGAAGCCACATGGAATTCATTTACAGACAGTGAAATTCCAGATCTGGACAGTGACCAAACACATGTAGTCATGACGAATGGATGGCAACCATTGTCCAAGACACAAAGAGACCTGGTTGTGATTGGACTACACAGTTAAAGCAATGTTACACATTCTTGAATGGGCTATATTAAAGATTGATGGTGTAAGCACCACCTGGGAATGCATGCCACAAAATTCTCTCAAATAACCCATGCACTTGTTTTGTAGGTCAGTGCAATGCCGTTCACCATATGTTTTTATTTTATTTATTTTTTATGACCCAGTCATTGACCTCTGACGTTATTGGGGCAGTGCAGACACTTTGTAGCTCTCCACCTTGGTCAAGATGACGGGTCGCTGGTATGCAGTTTATTATAACCCCCACCCCCGCTTAGAAAAGACAATATCCAACAAAAATAAATACAAATCTCAGACATATTGCCTAAAACTTGAACCCGAAACATGACTTCCAAGTTTGAGTTATTCATCTAGTTTGCAGCAATACTTTGTAAAATATTTATATCATGCCTGGTGGGTTGCATCCAGCTGGACATGGGAGTCAGGAAGCTCATGTTGAACAGCTGATTCCTCCCACTTTTCCAGAAAAGGTGTTACCAACAGATTTAACCTGTTCGTGGTTTGGGCCGAAAACACAAACTTATATAGATGATTAATTAATGGATTTTCTGGTTCCTTGATCTGGTTCTTATCCCTGACCTATTTGGTTGCTATGTTCTTCTGTTTCATAGAGTTGTTGTTAGGGAGAAACTTGAGATGTTGTTTTCACAACTCCAAAGCTATTTGGTGCAGTTAATGTGCACCTACTAGAATAACTATTTAAAGATTAGCACCTGCTGTCTTAAATTAGTGTGTTTAATATGTCAACCATGGCATTTTGGACTTAACTGCTTTAAAAAATGCAATAAAAAGTCCTTCCATCCCAAAATCAACAACTGCTGTTCCGCATGTACTACAACCAATGATTTACACAGTTTATACACTAGATTACTTACTAGCTGTTTTGAAGTCACCGCCCCTCCATCTTGGCACTCCCCCAACATTGTAGAACATATTTTGGAAGCTATAGAAATGCATTTATTAACGTCTACATTTGTTTTTGCCAGCGTTATTCTATTACAGACACCTACATTTTATTATGTGAGCTAAACAT